TTGTCTCCCAGTTCTTTTCATTTGTCTCCCAGGCTGGGTGCTTGTGGTCGGGTTCCCAGCTGGCTTGTCTCCCACTTCCTTTCATTTGTCTCCCACTTCTTTTCATTTGTCTCCCACTTCTTTTCAGGCTGGGTGCTTGTAGTCGGGTTCCCGGCCGGTCTCCCACTTCCTTTAGGCTGGGTGCTTGTGGTCGGGTTCCCGGCTGGCTTGTCTCCCACTTCCTTTTATTTGTTTCCCACTTCTTTTCATTTGTCTCCCAGGCTGGGTGCTTGTTTCCGGCCGGCTTGTCTCCCACTTCCTTGCATTTGTCTTGAACTTTTGCCCGAAACAGTTTACTGTTAGGGGTTCTCAATTCTTTCTTAAGATGTGTCGCTGCTGGTGTCCGCCCATTTTTTCTAATTATTCATTTTTCTCCCAGGTCTGTCACTGCTGGTGTCCGTCCGTTTTCCGCTGGCCATGCATGCATTCCTGCCGCATTGTGCAACACTCAGCTTTGTTTTCCTTTTCGGGCAAGCGTTGGCTGAATGACCGGATTGGATTTCGGCGGCGTGGCAGCCATCTCTCTGTTCAGTTGGGACGGAGGGCATACGTCAGGCACCAAAAATCAATTTCATGTCACATCCTTCGCTCCTCATGCTTTTATTTCTTGTCCTCACGTGGTCAACTCCCCGCTGATTGAGCAGCATGACCAGCATCATGTTCGCGCTTGAAGAATAATTCACTTACTGTTGGGGCTTCTCAATTCTTTCTTAAAATGTGTCCGCCCGCTCTGTACTGCTGTGTCCGTCTTTGCCTTGCAATCCTTTACATTTGTCTCCCAGCTCTGGGCTGCCGCCTCTGCCTTGCAACTTTGTCTCCCAGTTCTGGACGTCGCAAGCTCTAGTTTCGACTTTGAAAACACAAACTGTTTGGGCTCTACGGTGGTGTAATTCTTTTTCTTCTTGTTAACAGGAGCTGGGTTGGAGGGTATGAAATGCATCAAGGGGTTGTGGATGGTATTGTGACATCTTCGCAAGCGCGGGACATCGCAAGCATGCTTTCAATCCAAGATCCAAGCAGCGAATGGCTTGATGACTCCACGACCCCCCCAAGAGTTTCTGGCTTCGTTCACTTTTTGAGAAACCCCGGCCCCAGGTAGCACGTACCTTTTGAAAGAGGCTTGCTTTGCCGAATGCCAGATGAATCCCGAGTGCAAGGCGGTGTTCATTTGGGAACACTTGGTTGTGCAAACACCCTTAGCAATGTTTTCTCTTTACTTCATCTGACCCTTCCAGGTTCTGAATTCATTTGGACCCATTGGGCAAAAGTGTGTTAAAGCATCACCAATGTTGTCAGAAAATTCTTCAGCGTGGTCCATCATTCAAGCCCAGATCTTCTTCCAAGGAAAACAATGGTTTGGACCTGCCCAGCTGCGTCTTAATGGCCGAAACATGTGTGCCTAACAATCGCCCCTGTGATGCTGATTCCTGGTGCAGCTACAACAAGCCCTCCATTGAGCCTTGGACTGAAACCAGATGTGTTCCCACAAGCCTTGTGGCTGGAGTTCACTACCAAGTGCCACTACCAAAGTGCCACTTCAATATCCCACTGGCCACATGACGTGGGCATGGCAAGACTGCTAGACCCCAAGCTGGTGTCAAGATCACAAGGGGTGTATGTTAAGATAACCCCTGGACCTTTGGCAGCAATCTTGATCGCTGGATGAGCATCCTGATAGCTGTTCGGCTCATTGTCTCATTCTACACCGAACCTCTACACCTGTGTGACTGTCTGTGATGGTTGGAGGTTGGGTGTGGGAGTTGGACCAGAAAGCACCCAAGTCAGGAGTTATGGCCACTGAGTGGCCTCAACAGCTGCTCATGGAGCAACAATTTGATGCTTGGCCGTTCAGGGTTGGTGCAGCGGGTACTGTAAAGCTGACACTTGCAGCCTCCAGTCAGGGAAGTTTCAGTCAAGTGGACTAGAGCCACTTTGTGCAAAACCAAAAGTAGGTGGCAACGTTCCACCAGCGAGGTGCGTTGCAATAAGTGCTCTGTGTTTTTCCCTGTCGAGGGCCTAGTGGCTCCACACAGCTGTTTTCTGATGTGTTCGTCCCGAACCGCCTTGGCTCCTACTGCAGCGGAGGCCACGATCCTCTTCTTTCTGCCCTCCACTAGAGGATTTCGCGATGTTTCTCTTTTTGGTGTGTTGTTACCCGTGCCAGGTGTGTCATTCCAGGAAAGAACGTTTAAACAACAGTATTCCAAATAAACCCATCAGCTATCTCTAAATCAGAGACCCAGACAACAGAAAAGTTTGGTTGCGCACATACACCAAACTGCATGGGCCATAGAGGTGGAGATTCATCTCACACACCCAACCAAGTCTTGCTTCTGCCAGCCTGAAGGAGGTATTTGGATAACGAGGCGCCAAGTTAAGGAAGAATCATAGAAATTATGGTCTTTTGTTTGTTTGCCCACGACCAGAGCATGCTTGAACAGCCAATGTTGCACATGTAGGTGAGTTTTGCACTTGTCTCACCAGTGTCTCAATGCCTGTCTCTCAACACCTGAATCTACACATTTGTATCCAAACACCTGCATCTACATTGGTGTGTTATAGCAGGAGCATCACCTGCATCTCTGCACCTCTATGATGATGATGATGATGATGATGATGATGATGATGATGATGATGAT